ACAGTAGATGAAACAACACAGTGGAATTTGTATAGTTGAAAAGCCCAGAGGCTATGTAACTTGAAGCAGAATGGGGGCAGACAAATATGCAGATCTCTTGACTCTTTGTCCAGTGTTCCAACAAGAAGTTATCTCTCAAAATGAAAAACTTTTTCTTATAACTCTCAGAAAATGTATTCCTGAAACACTTGGTTTTGTAACCCGAAACATACTGACCTACAATACTAACTGAATTGTATCTTCTGATTTTGAAAGTATAATTGCACCTTGATTTTGAAAAATCTAAAATTTAAAGCTTCATAAAGTCAGCTTTAAGAATTTTATCACCTGGGGCCTTTGGCAAAATACCAGAGCAATTGTCAGGCATCAAGAATGGAGCTACCCTCCGTTTTCTGTACTGCTCACTGAGAACAGTTTTTCCCGATGCTTACTGACAATAACCTGTCTTTCAGCCAGTCTCACAAGCCAGAAATTGTCAAATCAGCCTTCAGTCCCATCAGAGTAGCCTTCAAATTGACCATTTGTTCCTCAGATATGAACAGTGATTTCATATCTAAAGGATCATGTCCCACCTATTATAGTCTCAGACAGCACTCAAGGTCTCTGATAACCTAATTCAAGCTTTCATTTCCAATATTATTTTTTCTTTTATCTTATCAGGAGCCCTCTACACCAGCAAGACTAGTTTCCCGCTGGTTCCTACAGATGCTATATTCACTCTCGCTCTGAGCCTTTTGTTCCTATAGTACATTTGCCCTTGCCTTTCCCTTCCTCTCCAGATATTAAGATTCCATCCACTCTTCAGATTTGAATGATTAAAAATTCTGCTCTCAATTTTTAGAATACGGTCTTGGTCAGTTCTTCAGACTTATATTTATTAAGGAAGAAACCTGATCTTATACACACATACACATATATGATGATATATTATAACCAAGTAGGATTTATTCAAAGGAATGTGATAAAAAAAAAAAAAAAAGGAATGTGATATTCATTAACATAAAAATTCAGTCAATGTACTCCTCTATTAAAAGTGTGAAGAAAAAATAAGGTCATGTTGATCCAGTGCAGAAAATGAATATGACAAAATACCACCATTTGTGATAAAAAAAAAAAAAAAAAAACCTCACAGCACACGAGGAATACAAGGGAATGTCCTTATTCTGATAACAGATAACCACAAATTAAAGCTCACACATTAAATGGTAAAATACTGAATGTTATTATTTGTATTCAACATTGCACTGGCTTGCACCATATAGTACTATAATGTAAGAAAAGAATTTAAAAGGTATGAGTAGAAAAGAAAAAATAAGATGGCCATTATTTACAGATGATGATTGTATATGCAGAAATTCAAAAGAATATACAAATAAGCTATTGGAAGAAAGTGAATTTATCAAGGTTACTGGATATAAGGTCAATATACAAAAATCAGTTGTATTTCTATGTACTAGTAAGAAATAATTGGAAAATGAAGTTTAAAAAATACTGTTTGCAGTAGTACAGTGAGCACGTCGTGTCCTCTCATGATTCCTTGTCATTGCACAAACTTTTCCTCTGATGTGAATGCCTTTCCATCTACCTCCACACACCTACCTGTTGAATTCCTACATTTCTTTCCAGTCTCTCTTCCTTCTTATAATTCCTTATAACTCTTAAAGAATTCTTTCTTCCCCTTCCTAAGAATTTTTTTTAAAAGGTTTTATTTATTTGGGAGAGAGAGAGCCAGAGATAGTGAGAGAGCACAAGCAGGGAGGAGAGGGAGAAGCAGACTCCCCACTGAGTAGGGAACCCAATGCCGGACTCTCTCCCAGGACCCTGGGATCATGACCTGGGCCAAAGGCAGACACTTAACTGAGCTACCCAGGCACCACCCCCTTCCCAAGTAGTTTTTAAACTCTAATTCACAAGCATTTTTTCTTGAAAAAACAAAAAGTAACACAAGTGCCAAACATAGAAAAGTGATAAAGGTGGAGCTTTTGACCCAAGAATGTAGAATGAACTCAGAGCCATGACTTTCTAAAAACATCTGCAAATCACAGATTGAAACTCATTAACATATTTTAGATACCCAAAGACCCCAAAATTGCTACTATAATTAATATCTCTAAAAAATGAATCTTTTTCCCACTTTATAGAAGATAAGGTCAGCAGGAGGAAATTCCTTCACCTCCAAATCAAACAGGAACTTATCTGCATTCCCATCTTTCTGTAGGCTTTTTCCTCCACCCTAAAGTTAATTTCTACACCTGTGTTCTAACCCTGATTCCCTTAGAACATTGCAGAAAATGTGTCCCACCTAATGCTCTCCTTTAATTCACCCTCAGCATGTGTATGCAGTTGTCCCATTAACACAGAAATCATTTTCTCCCCTCTAAACACAGCCTTCTTTTCTTCTCTTCCTTTAAGCTTCTTGAAACATGTCTGAAACAGCCCACTAGTTCTCACCTTCCTATTAATAATCCAACCTAGAATAATCTGGCTTCCATTCACCATAAATCACTGAAGTCTCCAGTACTGTCCTGGTTACCAATTCCAGTTTACTCCTTATTACTTGATTTGTGGCACCTAACACTACTGACCATCTGATGACATTCATTTCACCTTTGGGCTCAGTGACATCACTCTTCTGGCTGTAGAGCCATTTCATTTCATCTAGTTCAATTCCTCCTCTTTGACTAGCTTTGACCAGCTCCTTATATATTGATGTTTTCCTGGGTTTTAACTGTGACTCCTTTGTTTCTCATTCGAATCCTGTTCTCTGCTGATGAATTTCATATACCGTGGTTTTGACTACCAGTTCTATTTTAATTACTCCTAATACTAGTCTACTGGCTCATAATTCCCTCTTGGATCCATACGATCAACTTTAACATGTGCCAGATCACACTGGTTCACTCCTGTATTGCCTGCTTGGCGAATGGCACCATCAACCATCCAGTTAACCAGGAAGAAGCCTGGGAGTCAACCTACCTTCCTTCTTAACTCACCACTCCCAATTATTTGATTGTAAAAACCATATTTTACCACGTTAATATTTGTCACACATTCTTCACTTCCCTGCCCCCTGCTTGAGTTTAGAGCCTCATTTACCTATCATTCAAGTTACTGTCACAGCCCATACTCTAGGCTCCAGTCTGCTCAGTTGTCCTCAAGCTCCTAAATTCATTCTCCATACATTATTGTCAGAGCAATTTCCTTTATGTATCATCTTTCATCAGTTCCATAATTCAGAATCAAATTCAGGTTCCTTAGAATGGCAGTTAAGACCTTTGGTTATCTGGTATCTGCCTCCTTCTTAAGCTTCAACATCTGTCATTCTCATTTCTTAATAGATGTTCTATAAATGTGCCATGCTGTCACGCACCTGGATCTTTGCATGTGTGGCTGTCTCTCTTTTATGTACTTATCTCACTCTCTGGAAAATTCCTCTTCTTCCAGAACTGGGCTCAGACATCCCTGTCTCTGGGACACTAAATCTGATCAAGCTCCCTTGGTTAGACTCCATTCCTTCTTTCTGAATTCTGAGCAAATATCTGCAAGATGTTCTGTAACACGGTACCTCTGTACCATCTCTTTCTCCGTGAAAACTTCAAGGCATTATGATAATTTGCTTATTTACTCACTATTCCCTTTAGCCCCATCCTCTCAATTCTTGACTTCTTGAAGATAAGGGCCTGTTTCTTTCTTCTCTACAATTTCCAGTGCCCAGGATGGTAACTGGTTCAACCCTGGGATTAAGCAAATATTTACTGAGTAAACCACTTCTAAGGCTTAGAATTATTTCCTTTATTTGCTTTTGCAGTCTGAATTTTTAAAAAAATTTGAAAACCTCAAGTAGGGAAAACATGCTTTAATTTCATGAAATGGATTTCTTTAAGACTTTGCCACAGTGACATATTCTTTAAATTATTTCTTAAGATTTCTTTTGCAGCCAACTAAAAAAAAAATTAATAGGTTTAACCTTGAAGTGACTGCCAAACAAACTATATTTTTTCTACTTAAATTAACATGCTGTTCAGAACACAGCAACTGGGGGGTATAGCTCAGTGGTAGAGCATTTGACTGCAGAACACAGCAAGTACAGTTCAACAATAAATGACTTCAATGCAACAAATAAATGTATTTCTGAGAACAAAATTAGAAACTGTGCAAAAATTTTTTGGGAGACTGTTAGATGTAGTTTGGAAACAACTAGAAGAATAAAGGAGCAAGAGAACACCTTTTTTTCCTTTCTCTTTTTTAATGAAAACCATGCACAAAGTTAGACAACAATTTAGGAAAAGGCAAATTCCAGAGACTGAGGTAGTTTCCAGGGTTTTTTTTTTTTTTTTAATCTGTTATTTGGTCTACATATGCATATATTTTTTTATAAAGATTTTATTTATTTATTTATTTGACAGAGATCACAAGTAGGCAGAGAGGCAGGCAGAGAGAGAGGAGGAAGCTGGCTCCCTGCTGAGCAGAGAGCCCGATGCGGGCCTCGATCCCAGGACCCTGAGATCATGACCCGAGCTGAAGGCAGAGGCTTAACCCACTGAGCCACCCAGGCGCCCCATATGCATATATTTTAAGATCAGTTCTGTTTGCTATTAAAATGTTAGTTCTAATAAATATGCTACTGGCTTATACAGTTGGTGTCTTTCTAATGAGAAATCCAGCACTCCTACACCCAGATTTTTCTCATGTTTATACATCACATATAGTATATAATACTGTATAAAAAGATAGAAAAACCCCACCTTACAGATGGTCAAAATTGTGGTTTTGCAATCAAATTACAATTGTGATTCCCTTATCTTAGGATATTTTTTAAAAAGTGACTGACAGGTATGAAAGTTTTCCACATATTTATTACATAGTCAGAGCTCTTTGTCCTTAGAATTTAATATCTGATGAGACAAAATTAAAATAGAAAAGTTTTCTCATGATCATGACATTTATTAAATCAATCTCAAGTATGTATACCCTGCTGAGCTTTGGTTTAAGGCTTTCACACATGCAAATCTACTTTCAAGGAATCCTCTTCAATGTGGATTTTATAATGATTAGTAAGAGATGACCTCTGGCTGAACAGTTTCCCACATGCATTACATTCATAGGGTTTCTCTCCAGTATGAATTCTCTGATGTGCGATAAGTGATGAGCTCTGTCTAAAAGTCTTCCCACACGTGTTACATTCGAAGGGTTTTTCTCCTGTGTGAATCCTCTGATGTTGAATAAGAGCTGCACTTTGGCCAAAAGAGATCCCACATTCCAGACACCGGTATGGTTTCTCTCCTGTGTGGATTCTCTGATGGTTGCTAAGGGATGAGTTACACCTGAATGTTTTCCCACACTCGTTGCATTTGTAGGGTCTTTCTCCGGTATGCATCCTCTGATGCTGAATGAGAGCTGAACTCTGTCGGAAGGCTTTCCCACACACTTTGCATTTACACGGTTTCTCTCCAGTGTGAATTCTTTCATGGATGATAAGCGTCGAGTGGGAACTTAAGGCTTTACCACACTCGTTACAATTATACAGTTTCTCACCGGTATGAATTATCCGGTGTCTGTTAAGTCTTGAAATAGAAGTAAAACCTTTTCCACATTCGTTACATCGATAGGGCTTTTCTCCAGTGTGAATTCTTTCGTGCTGGATAAGAGACGCGCTCTGACTGAAGGCTCTTCCACATTCACTGCACTTAAAAGGTTTCTCTCCCGTGTGAATCCTCTGATGATAACGAAGGGATGAGCTCGACTTAAAGGTGTTGCCGCATTCATTACATAAATAGGACTTCTTTCTGAGGTGAATTCTCTGACATCCGGGAAGGGATGTGCTGGCTGCCTTCCTACCTGGATTGTATCTATGGGGATTTTCTCGAGCGTGGATTTTTTGATGTATAAAAAGGCCAGACCTTCTGCTGAAGGATTTACCACATTCTTTACATCGATAGGATTTCTCCACAGTGTGGATTCTTAGATGTTTGCAGAGGGATGCACTGTGGCTGAAAGCTTTCCCACATTCTTTACAGATGTAGGGTTTCTCTCCAGTATGAGTTCTTTGATGCTGAATAAGAGCCGAACTTTGGCTGAAAGCTTTCAAACATTCCTTACATTTAAATAATTTCTCTCCAGTGTGGTTTTTCTGGTGTTTACGAAGGGAAGAATTGTGAATGAAGGCTTTTTCACATATATTACATTTATATCGCTTTTCTGCTGTTTTGATTTTTGGTTGGCTAAGTAAGTTTGAATTTTGCTTGAAGCTATTTCTTTGTATTTCATATTTTGAGGGTGTTTTTTCTCTAGCAACCCTCTGTTGCTTAACAAAGACTGATTTCAGGCTGAAATTTTGGCCAAAGTTGCTATTTTTATGGCTTCTTTTTACAGGGAGGATTTTTGTATGGGTGATTGAAATTATTTGTAAACTTTCATTTTTGTCCTTTTGTTTCTTTAATCTGTCTTCATATATGCAGGGTTTTTCTGATAGGAAACTCCAGGGTTCATCCCTTTTGAGTCTTTTCCTTCTTAGCCCCTGAAATGATGAATCTTGGGTTTGAGTTGACTTTGTAGTTTTAGGACTGCTCTTACATCCTGAAAAAAAAAAAAAAAAATCACTAATGATTCACACAATTGGCTGAGACTTAATGTGTAGAAAGAATAAATACTAATGATATTTAAATAAGGGCTTGCTTTCTGGCTAAAAGATACTAGCAAGAGGAAAAAATAGGAAAGTAACACATATAAAACAATAATGGATGAAGGCAGAAGGACTAGGGTAACTAAAAGAATAAAGGAAGCTCACTTAAGGAAGGCAACCAGCAGAATGAATGGGAGGACAGAATTAGAAAAGTATGAATTAAGTACAGTCTGATATCCAAAGCCTATGACAGACTTTTACATTATTTATATGCCATTGTTCTCATTTATGTAATTGTTTCTAACGTTGAATGTCATTCCTCCTTTTTCTACGTGCCAAACTCCTCTGTAGCCTTCAGATTCAGTTCCAGTGTTAATTTCTCTGTGTATCCTTTCGTGAATCCAGCTCCAACAATCCATTGCCCTTATTATTACCACTTACTGTGGTATTTTACAAAGTAGGTACCTAAGGGGAAAAACTGTGAGTATATTTAGAGACAGTGAGAAAGCCTTCAAAAAAACTCAGCACCACTGATAGTAAAAACATTCAAGAAAATAAGAATTGATGGATACTTCCTCAATATGCTAAAATACATATAGTTTGGTCCTAAAACCAGTATCCTATTTAATGAAGAAAGACTAGAAGCATTTCTGCTATGATCAAGAACAAGGGGTGTCTAGCTGACTCAGTAGGTAGAGCATGTGACTTTTAATCTTGGGGTTGTGAGTTTGAGCCCCATGTTTGGTATAGAGATTACTTAAAAATAATATCTTTAAAAAAAAAAAAAGAAAAGACAAGGATGCCCATTATTTTCACTTCTACTCAACATTCCTAGTAGATGTCTTAATCAATTCAGTTACGTAAGAAAAACCAATTAGGGACGCCTGGGTGGCTCAGTTGGTTAAGCAGCTGCCTTCGGCTCAGGTCATGATCCCGGCGTCCTGGGTTCGAGTCCCACATCGGGCTCCTTGCTCGTCGGGGAGCCTGCTTCTCCCTCTGCCTCTGCCTGCCATTCTGTCTGCCTGTGCTCGCTCTCTCTCCCTCTCTCTCTCTGACAAATAAATAAAATCTTTAAAAAAAAAAAAAAAGAAAGAAAAACCAATTAGATGAACAAGGATGAGTAAAGAGGAAATGAGGAAATAAACCTACCTCTATTTGCTGGTGTTATAATACCCTATCTACATAACTCCAGAAAATCAATGATAAAACTTGATCAGTGATGTAGCAGATATAAAATTAACATGCTGAAGTCAATAATCTTCATTGACAGTACCAAAGAATTGGTGGAATGAATTTACAACAAATATTAAAAAAACTTATATGAGGAAAATTTTAAATAGCCCTGAATGATATTAAAGTATACCTAAATAAATGGAACAACCACTCCTATTCTTGGATAGAACCACTCAATGTTATAAAAATATAATGATATTTTAAAGAAAGTATGTAAAGATATTTTAAGTCCTATATAGAGATAGGACTCAGCTTACATTTGAGGACAGATAATTCTTTGGTGTTGGGCTGCCCTGTGCATCAGCACCTACCCTTTCTACCACTCCCGCCCTTCCTCAAGCTGTGACAATCCAGTGTTTCAAATTGTGTGTGTGTGTGTGTGTGTGTGTGTGTGTGTATGCTTAAAGTTTCCATAATAAACTAAAAACTAAATCTTCTTCCACTTTTCTGTCATTCCTTGCATAAGAGTGAGTGGGTTAATCCTTTTCCTCTTAAAGATCATATCTAATAAGAGACTTGCAATTTTAAAAGGTTTCTGCACATGAATTTAAAAATATCAATATACAAAGGAAAAGATATTTAAAAAAACACTTTCACTTAAAAAAATATACTTCCTAAGTAAAAAATCAGAATACTTACAGAATGATAAAACTTATGTTGAAATAGTAAATACCAAAGCTTTCTGGGTAACTGAAGACAATGGTAGATGGATAGTAAGCAAACTGTCAAACTTTACCAAATGATAAGAAATAACTTTATAACTGTGAGACTTCTTTTTTTGTTTATTAAAATTTTTATTTAAATTCTAGTTAACATATAGTGTAATATTGATTTCAGGAGTAGAATTTACATATAACACCCAGTGCTCATCATAACAAGTGCCCACCCATCACCCACTTCTAAGTGGTGATGGAAGGTTTTACCACACTTATTACCAGCTAACTGTGAGACTTCTATCCAAATCCTCCTCGTCAACATTACTTGAGAAAGAAGAAAGAAAATGCCAAACCTTGTAAAATAAATGTGAGTCAAAAGAGTAATAAGTGGACATTAAGGAAGATGGCAGAGTAGGAAGCTCCAGGATTATGTTTCCCCACCTAAGACAACAAATGAACTGGCAGAATCTGGCTGCTCCAATGATTTTGAAACTGTGGAATCTAACTGAAGGCTGGCAGCTTCTAGGGCAAAGCCTGGTTGATAAATTGTAGGTAGTTTAGTCGCTAGCCGCTACCCATGCCCCAGCCCCCAGCCCCATGGCAGGCAGCTATACTGACAGTCCTTAGGTGGCTTGCAGAAGCTAGGGTGAAAAGAGCCTTGTTCTTCAATTACTGTAGATCTGAGTTCTGACTGAGGATTATTGCTTGGGGTCATGGAGGTACAGACACAAAGGCAACCTGCCATTGTTGCCCCACTGGCTGAAGCAACTGCCAGGGGATTTAAGGGTCAGAGCCTATCTTCCCCCTACCCTCTCCCATTCACATTTTACCTTTTTCCCACATTGGGCAATCATATTTATAAGGACATCTAAAACTAACTGCATACATGGGAAATTTAGAAGGTCACCATACATGCCAAGGGAAAGGCAGAAGCTCAGAAAAGACATGAGAATACCTTTGGTTTATATCTCAGGCCGGTCCATGGCACAGAGACACCTGACAACAATAAAAAATTAGTTATATGTAAAAATACATGTATTCATATATACAACTATCATTTTTCCCTGTTGTAAAGTGATTTTACTGAATTGATTTGGACATACTGTAGGTCAGATAATATTTTCCAAAGATAACAATTATGGACTTTTAAACTTGACATAAGATTAGTAGCTTCAGCACTATTAGTCATATTCCCCATCAACAACATGATAAAATAATTCAATTATGTAGAAATACAGAACTCTAGGACTAGCTGGAAACTTGGAAATCACTTAGCATAATATTTTCATTTCATGAGAAAACTAGACTCAAATATTAAGCAATTTACCCAAATTCAAATATCTTACAGTAATAAAGCTGGCCTGGAAGAGGCTTTACCAAATAACTAAAGTAGCCTCTCTTTGTGAAAAGGAGGAAATATATGAGAAGGAAATCAGTCTGGGGAAGGGGAAGAATCTAGTTCCCAGAGTTATGACATTATAAAATTCAAATGTCTAGTTGGCAACAAAAAATCAGAAGGCACACACACACAAAAAGATATGACTCATTCAGAGCAACAAAATAAATAGACAAAAGATATCTATGAGGAAGAAATAAAGGTGGATATACTACACAAAAACTTTTTTAAATTTTTCTTAAGATTTTATTTGACAGAGAGAGGCAGCAAGAGAGGGAACACAAGCAGGGGGGTGGGAGAGGGAGAAGCAGGCTTCCTGCTGGGCAGGGAACTCAATGCGGGGCTCTATCCCAGGACCCTGGCATCATGACCTGAGCCGAAGGCAGATCCTTACTGACTGAGCCACCCAGGCACCCCACACGAAAACTTTTTTTAAATTTTTAATTTTTTCAGCGTAACAGTATTCATTATTTTTGCACCACACCCAGTGCTCCATGCAATCTGTGCCCTCTACAATACCCACCACCTGGATCCCCCAACCTCCCACCCCCGCCCCTTCAAAACCCTCAGATTGTTTTTCAGAGTCCATAGTCTCTCATGGTTCACCTCCCCTTCCAATTTCCCTCAACTCCCTCTCCTCTCCATCTGCCCCTTGTCCTCCATGCTATTTGTTATGCTCCACAAATAAGCCACACAAAAACTTTTAAACAACACTTTTCAAGATGCTCAGGAGAGCTAAAGAAAGATATGGGTAAAGCCCATGAAAATGATTTTTTCAAAAAGTGAAATATCAATAAAGAGATAGAAAAATAGAAAACACAGAAAGAAAGCAAAATGAAATTCTGGAGTTGAAAAGTGTAATAACTGAAAATTTCACTAGAGAAACTCAAAAATCAGATTTCAGCAGGCAGAAAAATCAGTGTACTTGAGGATAAGCCATATTAAAATTACTGAGTCTGAGGATGAACAACAAAAAATATTGAAGAAAGTGGAGAGATCCTAAGAGATCTGTGGGACACCATCAAGTGGACCAAAATAGCATTGTGGAAATCCTAAAAGGTAAGAGGAAAGAGGGGAGAAGGATCATTTGAAGACAATGGCTGAAAACTTCCCAAATTTGATGTGAGATATGAATCTACAAATTTATGAAGCATAATGAACTCCAAAAAGAAAAAAGTCAAAGAGACCAACAATGAGACATATTATCACCAAACTGTCAAAACCCAAAGCCAAAAAGAGAATATTGAAAGCAGCAAAAGAGAAACAAGACTTATAACATACAAAGGATCTTCATCAAGATTATCAGATTTCTCATCAGGAACTTTGGAAGCAAGAAAGTATTGGGTTGATATAGTCTGAGTGCTGAAAGAAAAAAAAAAAAAAACCTCAAAAGGGAATTCTCCATCTGGTAAACCATCCTTCGAAAATGATAAAGAGGGGCGCCTGGGTGGCTCAGTTGGTTAAGCCTCTGCCTTCGGCTCAGGTCATGATCTCAGGGTCTTGGGATTGAGCCCCACATCATGGTCTCTGCTCAGCAGGGAGACCACTTCCCCTCCACCCCCGCCTCTCTGTCTACTTGTGATCTCTGTCAAATAAATAAATAAAGTATTTTTTTTAAAAAATCATTGGTCTGTGTTTTAAGTCACACAATGTATAATGATACAGTCCG